CGCCGCCATCGCCGTACCTGGCGACCCGGGCGGGTGACGACCGGACCGAGCCGAGGGCGAACACGGTGACAGGGGAGAAAACCCGGAGAGTGGTGGGCGTACGGCTGGCGCACTGTAGGTGGATGAAATATGCTCGAGATGAAACACAATGTTCGAGCAATTAGATGTTTGTGGTGTGCATGTTATATATAAATATATATATATATATTTATATATATATATATATATATATATATATATATATATATATATATGTGTGTGTGTGTGTGTGTGTGTGTGTGTGTGTGTATGTGTGTGTGTGTGTGTGTGTGTGTGTGTGTGTGTGTGTGTTTGGGTGTGTGTGTTTCTCATTTTCCTCAACCTTTTCAACTCTCCCCCTCTCTATCTCTTCCCTTTTTCTTCCCCCTCTATGTTCCGCTTTATTTGTCCCTGCTCTGTCTGTCCCTGTTCTGTCTGTTTTGCCGAATGCTGACATCACTTTCAGCAAGTATTTGTAGTGATTAGATTAAGAAACAGCTTGTGTGCACGAACTAGAATGAAAATAGCTTCCTTTTTCGAATACGCTCATGGAACGTAACGTTCCAGAAGGCTGAAACACATGGCGGAAGCAAGGGCGTTGCTGTATAACCGTATTTGTCATTTTCCTATTGCGCTTTTTAATGAGCCTTTCTTCGAAAAAAGCAAACATGCATTTTTATCGCTACTAACAATCACTGAAAACCCTGCCATATCACATGCATTGAGTACATCCGCCGCAGCGGACGCGCCAATGAATACATCACCACACACCCGTTCACCATCTGACCTGTGTTTGTATGCACGCCGCGTCACTGCAGGACGCCAGCCCAGGATGGATTTCCGGAGGTGAGGCGACCGCGCTGGTCCCCAGGGAGCTTCTTCAAACACCGCAGCCACGGCCGCACCCGCAGCCGCAGCTGCAGCCGTAGCTTCGCCGATCGTGCGACGACGCTGACGGGATCCACAGAGCTCGCACACCCCGAGACAGCACTCCGGTCAGGACAGCCGGCGCGTGGGACCGGCACGGGCAGCCCCGCCGCCCGCTGACCCAGCCGCACCAATGACCTGGCTCGGGGCGTCGACCCGGGCCACGCGCACCGGCCGCCAGCTGAGTGTCACGTGACCACTGGGGTCGGATGACCAGCTGATCCAGCGGGACAGCAGGCTCTGACCTGTTACGTTGCTGTGCAGAGCTTGTGCCGGACGGCGGGCTTGAGTACGCGCTCAGTTCTACCCACATCTGGCTTATCTCGTTTCGTATTCCACTCCCCAGAAGCATGGAGGTTGAGGCTCAGTATACATTTCCGGCATCGTAGCTAGCTACCTAGCTAGAATGATAGACATGGAAAAGGTTAATGCATGTATATGGAGTAGGAATCACCATAACCATACTGCGACTGTCCCAAATCTTACACCGGAGCTCCAGCACTGTGGAGCAGTGCGAATTGACGAGCAAACTGGCGCTTGCCGTTCCTCTGTCCCAACGCATCGCTCTCTCCTGAATCTTCGCAACTCCACGGCTCTGATAGTTAGGCTGCGGCCGTCAGCCTCAAGCTGGCCTAACCCCGAGCTTCCGTATGTTTTGTTCTACTTTTCTGCTATGAGCAGGCTCAGAGTCTGACGATCTAAGAAGAAAAACTAAGCATGGCATAGTTACGCGAAACGGTCAATGTAAATTTCTCGTCAAACTGTGTCAGGGAAGTGCGGTTGAATACCGGTGAATGCGTCCTTTGGCATGTCAAATTGGGTTACATAGGTCATCTTAACACGTTGTAGACACCCTATATCACTTCAAGACCAACCGCTTATTATCAAACATGCCACGGCAATGCAGAAAACGGCGTTGGATAACCAGAACAACTCCTTTCAATCGGCACAAGTTTAGGCCGACTGACAGGTTCTGTGAAATGGCATGTCCCAAAGCTCCCAAAGCCAATAGATTTGGATGCGGACGCGGCGACAAAGGACTCGAACTCAAACCCATTTAACGCGCAGAGAGAACTCAAAACCGGGACCCGGACTCCGTACGCCAGGAATCAGCCTCAGACTAACGTTTCTAGACTCTGTACCCTGCGTGATATGAGGTACATCTATGCGTCTAATCAGCCGGGTGGAGGCGGTGAGACCAAAGCTGTGGTCCCGCGCGTCTGAATGCGCGGGGGTGCGGTCCTTCCTACCCCGTGCCGACCGCAGTGAGCCAATATTAGCGTGACGCAAATAGCCCTCACTCATCACTCTCTAATATTGCTTCCTCTCGCCAACGGCTATGGCAAACGCGCGAGATGAGTCAACCTTCATCAGGGCATAGATTGGCAATGTGCAGGTCACCTACGCCAAACGATTTATTTGCAATCAAAAATGAAAAAGTAAAGTTCTAGGGCTGGGCTGCTGCCGTGCCTCGTCGGCGCGCCGGCGGCGGTGAGGGTGTCGCTGAGTCGGAGGCCTCGGCCATCGTTGCAAGTCGTCGGCCGGGCCGCGGCTGTTAAACCACCGGTGCGTGGTGAGGTCGAGCCGAAGTCAGGCCGGCGGCGGGCCCACCGCCGGCAGCGGTGGACCCACTGCCGGCAGTGAGCCCACGGCCGTCACCTGGGCCGGGATCGCTGGGTGGTCCTCGGTGTGTTGTCCGGCCACGGCTTCGGTCACGGTTCCGGTTCCGGTTCCGGTTCCGGCTCCGGCTCCGGCTCCGGCTCGGACCTCAGACCCCCGGCTGCAGCTCCAGCACCGTCTTCTTCTCCCGGCTCCGACTCCGGCCTTAGGCCCCCCGGATCCAGCTCAGGTTCTGCCTTCTTCTCCTTCTTTGGCTCTGGTGACGACCCCAGCATCGCCTCGCTGGCGAGGGGCCGACTTGACTCAGCTGTCCGCCGACCGTGGCCAGCGCAGCAGGCGAAATGCAAGCGCTGGTGGAGAGGGAGGAGGGGGGGGGGGGGGCATGGAAGCATCCAGAGCCCGGCATGCTGGGGTGGGGGGGGGGGGGGCGTCCAGCAGCTTAGTGGCCCGCCGAGGCCGATCTGCCGCAGATATTTTCGAGCTGCGGAGAACAGGCGTGGAGTCCAATTACCGGTCTGTGACAACTCCTTTGTATTGGCGGGGAACCAGTTCGACATGCTGGTGTGATAACGACGTAAACAGACGGTGCGCCTCCATCGGCAGGGTGTGGAAACATCTCAAGAAGTGGACGGGCCAACCCATTTGTGACTTAAGCTGTCATTTCTTCTTGCATCACCATGGAACTGTTGTTAGAAATTACGTAAGTTGTAAAGTGCGTTTGTGAGGAGCATCATGCACATAGATAATACAGTAGTAATAGCCTTATTCCTCGAATAAAAACAAGGAGAAAGGAGATATCGATGCCCTGATAATTCGTCAGCGTGCTATCATCCAAACGAACAGCAGAAGTCTCCTGCTTATTTTTTGGATAAAGGCACGTTGCCGAAATATTAACGCATCTATATCTCCATTCTTCCGGTTTGTCTCCGAAGAATAAGGTCATTATTACTGTCTTATATATGAGCTGTTGCTAGGAATGAACTGAAGATGACTGAACCACGACCCACCTTGTTTTTGTGCTTACATTCGCAGATGCATAGGTGTGTACGAATGTTTCGGCAAACCAGTCAAATTTTTCAAGATGCGATTGGAATCATTGTAAGTTGTCACTAAAACATTTAGCGGCGTAGAAACGAAAGCTCGCAGACTTTTTATTAAGCCATTTGAGAATCAGTAGTGTGGTTTTCGTGCGAAAGATGTGGGCGTAGAGTTTTAACAAGGCCGGTGTTTACTCGTGTGTGAATGACCTTGGCGGCAGGTCAAGTGTCTCATCGGCACATGGATGGGCACATGGATATGTTGCTGGCACATTGATTCAACACACTGATTCTTAAAACATCAGCTCATTACTCTGTGTTTCAGTTATTTGATTGGAGTCATGAGCCCGCCACAACCACGTGATATTCTGTCTCATATTGGCATGCAATTAGCCGACGCCAATGCTTTGTAAATAACCAACGGCACCCGAAATACGGGCGATTACCTCGACGTATGTGCTTAAGGTGGCAGCCGGTTACTGGTGCAGTTGCAAGTGGCTCTACAGTTACGGCCAGCCGTAGGCATGGGCTACAATACCCATTGGCTGCCTAAAGGAACCCAATGGCTACCTAATGGTTCGCCGGCTGAGATACAGTTAGGAGCCTGTGCAAATCATACGTGCTCCGTCAACTACTTGCTTATTTCCACAAATAGATTTTGAAGTGGCAGGCTACATTATTCTTGTTTAACATGCTGCGAATAGCTCGGCGCGCTGGGAAGTTCTGCACGTGAACAGCTGCGATGAGCATGGTTAAAGATACAAGTAAGTCACAAAATATCTGACCAGTGCACTAGTCATGTAATTTTGTTCACTACACATTCATGATCGCTGTGGGGGCTATAAACATATATATACATACATATATATATATATATATATATATATATATATATATATATATATATATATATATATATTCGGCTCATGCCTTCCCCAGAACTTGAAAAATTCTAGAAATGGTTATTTTAGCGGTCTAGGCTGTTTGATTGCATGCTTTATAATAGTTTGACACAGATTATTATCTGTAGTGAGGGCGTCGAGCCAAGATTGCATTCCGCTTGTCAGTGCTCACATAAAAATAAGGTCACGTGAAGAATAAAAAACGACTCGGAATATTTTGGACCGCAGAATGGTAATGTAACTTTAGATAAGACTGTCCGGTTTGGTTTTCGGAAGCCATCTGTGAATTAAAGCATGCATAGAAGGCAGAAAGCTTCTAACTTTTCTGGGAACCTTTCAGGGTGGCCATTGTCAGCAAATTATAGGTAACTAATTGTCAGGCTTATTTGGTTTATGTGTTAACGCAGTTGATGGGTGTGTTTCAACTGGTCTTTGGAGGCCTTGCTTTGCTAGTTGTAGGTTTCAATTTTTGTCGCGGGGTAAGACTTTGCAAATGCGTGAGCAGGGCTGCAAGCTCACGAGCGTCTTCCGAACACACACTGTGTGGTGATGCAGCTTCAGGTTCCAAGAACGAATGAATACAAATACCCACTTCCCAGCGGGGATTTACACTCCTCCGTGTGGGGCTTTGAGAAAGACCAGATCAAAATCTCTTCGAGTGCACTCGTCTAACAGGCTGCAAAGACCACAATCAACAAATGAAGGCAGATTATTCAGGAGGATATTAGACTGGAAATGCTCTAATGCGAGACCAAACTCCAGAAGATCTCAGCAGCCTGCAACAGTCGATGCAAACGATCTTGTCAAGCAGATGCGGAGCTTAAATATTAAGAATACTGAGTCCGCTCGAGACTGCAGGGCTCAGGAGAAGACGATCAAGAAGAGAACACGTTTCGTGGTAACTGATCTCAGCTCCAACAATCTTGCCCGTCATGATGAAAAGTAAGTAAGGCATGACCAAAAGTTTGATAAGCTCGTGGCAAGGTGTGTTGGTTTTCGTTCCGTGATCGAAACTTTTGTAACACAACGCCGATAAGGCAGATGCTGTTCCGAGCGTTCCATTATCTGGAGAAATTGTGAAAAGGGCTCGCCCAACTGGGGTAGAGCACAGCGCCACCACAATGGATCCCAGCCCTTTACAATACGTTGCCGAATCTTGAGATGCGCCTGATGCGTGTGTTGCGTTAGGATTTGTGTAACAACGTGATAGGTCCCGGTATTTCCGGGCTTAACTTTAAGAGGCGTCTTAGAGGTCGTATTTGTAATCGTGGTCCCCAGACCTTTAGTTAGAGACTGCTTCACAAAACAAAATACAAATTTATGCACTACTAACCTGTTTCGCACAGACATATGCACCACAAAGGTGGAAATTTTATCGACGAGTTCTTCATAGACATGACTTTCAAATTACAAGTGTAAATATTCTCTGCCCGCCTGCCTACACTGTGCGATTCATAGATGCATATATTCGTAAGTTTGTTTCATGAAAGCAGGCCCCGTTCTTGGATGAACACTACCTCAATTGATGCGGTTTCGTTTCGCCACGTTGAATTAGTGTAGATGAGGACCTTATTGATCTAGGCAATGGTGCGTGCGTTCTTGTACCATCAAGCTTACTCCTCTCACTTCAGATAAAGTTCAACTGGCTTTATTTCTCATCCTACACAAAAGTTAAGTTTGGCATAAGTCCTTCCGGCATTTGAGGATACCAACCGGACATCCGTTAACATCCGAATGAAGATGTGTTCGCTGAACAGAGCCCGGCACGTTTCCAGTACACCTTCAGTGCACCCACATAGCCTGAACGTGATCGTTGCAGATTTTACCGTCCGCTGACTGGCCGCGAGAAGCAGCGGCGCATCTCCGTCTGGGTGCAGAACGTGGAGCGGCAGCGGGCGGGCGCTGGTGGCGCCGCCCACTCGGCCTGCGACTCGCCCAGCACCGAGACCACTGGCGCCCTCTCGGCGTCGCTAGTGAGCCAGCAGGGCTCGTCGGGACGCGCCGGGGCGGCGGTGCAGCGCCTCAGCCCGCCCGCCACCCACCTGGCAGTGCACCGCAGCCTCTCGGAGCAGCGCGGCGCGTGATGGCGGCGCCCAGCGAACCGAGCGACCCCGACCTCCGCTCACAGCCGCGCAGCGACACGAACGGCCCGGCCGAGCGAGAGCGAATCTCGAGCGATGTCAGTAGACATGCATATAAAGGACTGATTGCGTCTGAGCCTCGTGGTCGCAGCGAGATGTGATGGTCAGTTGTGTCATGCATGTGCACGACTTTTGAGAAGTCGAATCATTCTATACGAAACTTAAGACAGTAAGGCGTGCAGTTGCACTGGATACTTTTATTGTTCCACTGATCTGATATATGAGTGATCCATCATCTCAGTGAAAAAGGCTCAAAGAGAAGTACTGTCACGGTGCTTCTGCTCGTAAGGGTCAATTCTTACATAAAATCTGCAGATTTTTTTTTAGATGCCTTCTGTTATGGCCAAACACCTTAATCATTGTCCGGCAAAATGGTGTACACAGCGCAGCCGAATGCATTTCGACAATAAACAATGCGCTCTGCGCAGATTACCGTCTTGTGATCACTTTGGGCACATCGGCTTTATGGTTAGTATGCTCATTAAGGTACTGGTTGACATATAAGGAGCACCTTAGCCCAGACGTTAAATATAATGGCGAGGAAGACATGCGTGCAAACGTTGACGCTACAGTACTTCAAATCTCTGAATGTCAGCTTGATAAGTGTATGTGAGGTCGGTTAAACCATCGGCATCTCTTTGTATTTTGCAGTTAAACAGCATGAGTCATATGTCGCTGCAATATGCGCACGTCGTGATTGTGGTGGGTTTCAGTATTTAGAAGTGGGGACAGTCTTAGCATTTGGCGATAGCCGAAGCATTTTTTGTGAATATATACTACGGGTTTGCATAATAATGTACCGCCGTCATATCACCGTGGCCGCTTGCTGTTGTGAATTTATTTGAAGTGCTGTCCGGCTGTCCATCACGCGTTCCGAACCAGCGAGACGCCTGTCATATTTATTTCACATCACTTTCTCTGTCAAGAGATTCAACCCAGCTTATAAGCATGTCACACGGCCCATGCAGCTTCCGCCAGGCGAGGCCGTGCACTGACCACATAGCATCGCCTACTCGTGTGCCCGGCCAGGGCTCAAGGGGCCGCTTGTATCATCCGGCTGCGGGCAGGTCAAGGGTCACAGCTGTCAGCCGTGAGGTGTCACGGCTGTCAGGTGTCAGCTGAAAGGCGTCACCGGTGGCCGGACGGCGGTGACCGGCCGGCCCGTCCGCCGCCCATCGCTCGGAGCGGCCTCAGACCCGGCAGCAGCAGGACGTGTCCCCCAGTCCGCCGACTTGACCCAGCATGACGTCACGGACCGGGTGGGCGCCAGCCGTCTGTGGCCGGCTGCTGCTGCTGCTGCTGCTGGCTTTCGTCTCCACAGGTGGGCTCTCGCGGACTGAGCGGCTATGGAGGCAGGCGGCTGGCAATGTCTCGTTTTTTCCGGGGCCATGTTGGCTGAAGTGGTCCTGCACAGGGAATATAAACCGTTCCTTAAACGATGCATTTCCAAAAAAGTCCCTCCCTACCTTCAACGGTGCGGATGGGTGGCGCGCTCGCACTTTGTGACTCGTGGGGGTAAATGTGACAGCTGCGTTTAGCAGTTTCGATGGCTGCGGGGATGTGTTTTTACAAAGGACCACTGCAACGTGCAACGAGGGAATCGTGCACGTGTAGATTAGATTGGCCACAGAGTTTTCGCTAGTCGTGTTTTATTCTATTTTTGTGGAGTATGATTACGCAGGTAAAGTTCACTTTGTTGTCCAGCCGCAATAACAATTTGACCATAGTTCACTTTGATCAACAATTTGACCAACAAGACTGAGTCTGTCAGTTATGCATGATGCAACTTAAACGTATCGACATACCAGCCTGGTCGTTTTCTTTTCAACATGGACCGCTTGGATCGCACGCCACCACTCACCGAGCCGCTCGCGCTCCGTCCGTCCCCAGCAGGCAGTCCAGCACCATCAGCGCACAGCGGCAAGGCTGCCAGCACCGGGTTCGTGGACGGCTTCGCCTCCGGCCAGGCCCAGGTGGGCGGGTCGGCCAGCAGCGGCGTGTTCGCTAGCCTGCCCGGCTCGGGCAACGACCCCGACCACGACGCGGTCGTCAACGTCACCAACGTGAGCGTGAGCGGCAAGGCCGGGCTGGGAGAGGGCTCGGGCAGCGTCAACGCCAGCGTCGGACCCTGACCGCCCGATCCGGCCCAGCTGGCGTCGGCACAGTCGATCGTGTCAGCGGTAGTCAGTGGCAAAGGATTATGTATCGGCAAACATCAAAGTCACCGCGGTGAATATCCACGAAGCAATCGCCTGCTGCGTGTGGGCGCAGTTTCAAAATTCACGGTGCATGATGATTTAATCCTGTTGGTTGGATAAGCTTTTAAAAGGACGCGGATAACAAACCCCCGTCTGTGTTTTGGTGGAATGGCACAGGCAGTGCCGCAGAGAAAATAGCGACACAAGGCGTAGATTCTACGCCGCATGGTGCGAAAGCAAATGTTAAGGCCGACATGAACGACAAATAAATTAAGTGGATGCGAAAGCTTTTCATTCACAACCAACAACTCAACCGGTACAGGGCAAGCCATACGTGAAATGCAACATTTTGAGGTCAACTTCACATCCTTTGAAGTTGTATACAGGCGCTGATTACGGGATGTGTGGAATAGCTTGTTCAGTGTCACAATGTAACTCATGTCCGGGGTCCCAATGTAACTCATGTCCAGGGGCCCAACGTAAGTTATGCACAGGGTCCCAATGTAAATCATGCCCAGGATTCAATGTAAGTCATATCCAGGGTTCCAATGTAAGTCATGTTTAAGGGCCCAATGTAAGTGATGTCCAGGGTCTCAATGTAAGTTACTGGGCATGGACCCAATGTAAGTCGTGTCCAGGGTCCCAATGTAAGTCATGTTCAGGGGCCCAATGTAAGTCATGTCCAGAGTCCCAAAGTAACTCATGTCCATGATCCTAATGCCGCGTAAATCATCTTAGGCATTCATGGACACAAGAAAGCTGCATTGATAAACCACCGCTAATCTTCTACAACTGCAGAAGTAACTCCAGCATCATTCCTAGTTGGTAGATGGAGAGAAAGTCAATGTACGTATATATATATATATATATATATATATATATATATATATATATATATGCATATATCAATAAATCTATCAAGGTTTTCATATATGTGCGTTACGTAGTAAAACCTTTATTCTTCACCTTCTTCTCATCATCGAAGAATGGGGGCAATAAAAATGCTCCTATGTATGCGTGATATTCTTCACAGATGCCCTGGAAAAATTAACGTGCACAACTATGTCAAAGGCAAGCTGAGTGCTAGGCATTCAAGCATGTAAACGAAATTACGTGGGCTCCTCTTTTCTAAGTGATTACTCAACTCAACCAGACTCAGACGGAAGACGGGAGAGGAGTGCACTTCCTGTGCGCACAGGCGATAGCTGCTGAGAAGTATGCCACATTCAGCAGATATATCATATCGGTAGATCCCCGGTTCATAAACCGGAATTATGTTCGCGCCTTTGGCGCGCGGAAAAAACGCCCGCCTGAACCGTGCACTACAAGGGCGAAAATGTTAGTCTTATCTGTATCACGCACATCATCACTGAAAGGAGCGCAGATGGATCAGAGTCCCGATTTGAGTTAGAACCACAAGTAAAAATCACAAATCCTGGTTTAGGACCACAAACTCTGTTCGGTTTCACGACAACGAGCAAAGTTTGTATCAGAACACCAACTTTGGCATTGAAGGTATTTTACTGTCGTACTATCTAACATCCAGAGATGAGAAACCATTTAATCGACCAAGGCACGCGCTGAAGCCACGCGCGATGTACAACAGCCAGAGCGCGAACCTTGTGTATAACAAGAGCCTCGATCCCGAAAAGCCATCCCAACTAACCCGCTGTCACGCGATGAAGGCTCGCAGAACTTTCAGCCGAAAGGTCAGGTCCACAGGCGGGCGGCCCCACGTGGGCCGCCAGTGACCTCTGAAGTGGTCAAACCACCCCAACGGGAAGGCCCGCCGGAAAGCCAACAGAGGTCACGTGCCTCACGTGGCTGGCACGTGGAAAGGTGGCTTGGGGAAAGGGCAGGGTCAACTCATGTTGGAGGTCTTATTGACGTCACACAACGCTGAAGGCAACGACGAATATGCTACGGCCAGCAGGTGCCAAGATAAGCCATCGACACTTACGAAAGGGAGCAATAAGGGCAGTATGCAGTGCAGTAACTAGACCTTGGCTACTGGAGTATATTACTAACTTTCCCTCTTTAATTTAAACGCCTCGTGATGTTCCCTTGCTCCCGCCGCCGACCCCGTGCTCCTAAAAGGCCGCCAGCCGTGTCACGACTTTAAAGCAACAAGGACACAAATGATGGTTTGGACTTCAAGCTACTTCCCAAGCGAGTCTTGTTGCGTGTGCCCTGAACCTACCACCCAAGAAATTTGATCCAGTTGATCAGCAAATTTACGGTGTTCTTTGCAGTGCCGACTAGGGAGGGTTTCACTCGCGGTATGGTACACGCCACGGCCGCCCCGCACCGCCAAATCCCGATCATGCTGTCGCGTGCTCGAACCCAGCCGGCCCCAGGTACAGGGAACGCTGTGGACTGACCCCGGGTACAGGGAACCCTTTGGGCCGGCCCCGGGTACATGGAACGCTCTGGGCCGGCCCCGGGTACAGGGAACGCTGTGGACCGACCCCGGGTACAGGGAACCCTCTGGGCCGGCCCCGGGTACAGGGAACGCTCTGGGCCGGCCCCGGGTACAGGGAATGCTATGGGCCGGCCTCGGGTACAGGGAATACTCTGGACCGACCCCGGGTACAGGGAACGCTATGGGCCGGCCCCGGGTACAGGGAATACTCTGGACTGACCCCGGGTACAGGGAACGCTATGGGCCGGCCCCGGGTACAGGGAATACTCTGGACCGGCCCCGGGTACAGGGAACGCTATGGGCCGGCCCCGGGTACAGGGAATACTCTGGACCGGCCCCGGGTACGGTGAACGCTACGGACCGGTCCCGGGTACAGGGAACGCTCTGGGCCGTCCCGGGTACAGGGAACGCTCTGGGCCGGCCCCAGGTACAGGGAACGCTATGGGCCGGCCTCGGGTACAGGGAATATTCTGGACCGACCCCGGGTACAGGGAACGCTATGGGCCGGCCCCGGGTACAGGGAATACTCTGGACCGGCCCCGGGTACAGGAAATGCTATGGGCCGGTCGCGGGTACAGGGAACGCTCTGGGCCGGTCCCGAGTACAGGGAACGCTCTGGGCCGGCCCCGGGTACAGGGAATGCTTTGGGCCGGCCTGTGGTGCAGGGAATGCTTTGGGCCGGCCCCGGGTACAGTGAACGCTACGGACCGGCCCCGGGTACAGGGAACGCTCTGGGCCGGCCTCGGTTACAGGGAACGCTCTGGGCCGGCCTCGGGTACAGGGAACGCTCTGGGCCGGCCCCGGGTACAGGAAATGCTTTGGGCCGGCCTGTGGTGCAGGGAATGCTTTGGGCCGGCCCCGGGTACAGTGAACGCTACGGACCGGCCCCGGGTACAGGGGACGCTCTGGGCCGGCCTCGGGTACAGGGAACGCTCTGGGCCGGCCTCGGGTACAGGGAACGCTCTGGGCCGGCCCCGGGTACAGGGAATGCTCTGGGTCGGCCTCGGGTACAGGGAACGCTCTGGGCCGGTCCCGGGTACAGGGAATGCTTTGGGCCGGCCTGTGGTGCAGGGAATGCTTTGGGCCGGCCAGGGGAAATGTATGTATGCTATAGTGTGACAAAGCTGTGAGTTTGCAAACTAATAAGGAAATTTATTAACTCCTTGGATGGTCACGGAGTTTCCACATGCCTTAAGAAGTTTGCAATCTCCCTATAGAGTTTGCGACGTCCCTAAGATATATGGAAAAGAAGACTTTATCTTCACTCGCGACCTCAAGGGAAATGAGTCGTTTGTATAAAGCTTGACCCCCGACGCAGGACCGTTAGATGCTTCGCTGCGTTCAGCCCCATCACAACCGACAGGCCACAACAGCGGGTTTGGGCTGGGGGCTAGAGGGACAGACAGGGATACAGTTACCAACTGGTGCTGGCTGAAACTTTATCCTTTGACGGCGGTCCGTTCACGACTGGCGACGCTTGGCGAGGACCAGCGCGCGAGCATGGCCGGGCCGGGAGGCTGCGCTGAGAAACTGGAGCAGCTCGCCATATTGCTTACCACGCCGTGAAGAAGCTTTTAATATGCCACCCAGGTCCCCAACTGAAGTCTAAATGCGTTTTTAGCTCATTTTTGGAAAGGATGCGCTTATTCCAGGGTAAAAACGAACAGGTCGACAGGCTTGCTGCGTTATGGCCCCTGTTCGTTGCTATGCAGGTCATGTATGCCTTGCACCATTCGAAAGCACTTTGAACTGACGCTGTGCGGCCGTCGAGATAAAGGTGAGAAGACAGCACTCGGCAGCGGTGTTAGTCCCAAACGCGACGCATCTGGAGATTTAGCAGTGGAAATAAGCGTCGCACAGCTGTGCGAAGATTGCGTTTAAATTTGGGCTGTTGAAGCGCTGTTGGTAAAGAGGAGTGACGGGGCTTCCTTGAAATTCCGCTTTTTTGTTTTCTTTGTGATGCTGTCGCGTTTTTTAACCACCGAGTTAAAACTTCTTGCGGTTTATCGAAACGTTCCGAATCGGAAGACAGAGGGTGATGTGGTAACCAGCGGCACCTAGTGGTGTAGAGAGCAGCGCCACCCCGCGGCCGCGAGATGGCAGTGACAGCCATTCCTTCAACTAGAACCTCAGCCAACAGGTATCTGAAAGCTCGGTGACCCGCTCGGCTCTCTTTGTGTACAATGACGCGTTGCACCGATTAAAAAATGTGGTATCGATAAAATACAGCATCGCTTTTAACCATTTCAACCATAATGTACTGCCCTTTACCATGCAGCATACGACGTCCTTCAGCCGACATCGCATACTAGTTCTCTGGACCATAAGAAAACGAACATGGTTGAAGCAATATGCAGAGTCGTGCAATCCCTGCAAGAACTATCTAAGTCTAGGTTCACATCAAGATTGTTGAGCATCATTTATTACACTTCATTACAGTCGCAGATCCAGTTCACAAACCAGCGCCAGCCTCTGGTAAGCTAACAGGTCACGATGCGACGCTATTCGGCACCCCACTCCAGCTGCTGCTGGACAGTGCGGCGGACGGCTCCAAAGAAGCAGTTCGTCTGCCTGCCGCAAGAGGTCCGCTACGTCACGACCTCCCGGCGGCGCCCTGGTCGGCGCGCTGCTAGTTCTGCAGATTGTTGCCTGGCTCCTAAGGGTCCCAGGAGGGGACGTAATCGCGTCTGCGACGCCAGCACCCAGTACTGTGCTGGAACAGTCATCTGGTGAGTCAGTGACGTCACGCGACGTCACCAACACCGACGCGGTTTCCGGGCCGCCAGCGGAATCCGGCACCGCTGCCGGCGACTCGAGAGAGTTGTCCGGTGCGCAGCTTGTCCGGCCGGTGTCTGTCCGGCACGCGTCTGGAACTCCGCACTCTTTTGCACTGAACAGCACCGGCGAGGCCGCGCTGAACGCGCTCCACGAGCCGGTGGCCTCCTCTGCGGCCCGCTCCCCGGTTCCGCTCTGTCCCACCGCCGCGCCCGCCGCGCGCCGGCTCCCGCCAGCTGCGGCCGGCGCCGTGAAGAAGCGTGTGATCACCGGCTGCCGGCTGCGCTCCCAGGGCGCCAGCAGCTGCGGGCGGGCGCCGCTACCGGCCGGCCGACGGCGGGCGCTGCTCCAGCCGGGCGTCGCCATCGGCCGGCACGAGCACGCAGATTGTCAGCGAGCACGAGTCGCACGGCACGAGCAGCGCACCGGCCGTCAGCTCGTGCCGCGGCAGCCGGAAGCCGTCGCCGCAGCGGCAGTCGCGCCAGAAGGCCTCGAGGTCGGCGCGCCACTCCAGCTCGGCCAGCGCCAACTCGTCCTCCACGGCGGCGGGGCCCGACAGGCGCGCCGCCGCCAGCTGCCGGTCGTACAGCGCGCGCGATGTCGGCTCGCCGAGCGTTTGCCACGCGAGCTGCACCCGCTGGAACGCCGTGCCGCTGGCGGCGGCGCCGCCTTTGTCCGGGTGGGTGGCGCGCACGAGTGCCTGGTAGCGCGCCTTCAGCTGGGCAGCACTAGCACATGGCTGGACTCCTAGGGTGGCATACAGATCCTCCTGGTCAGCCAGGTGACTCATAGGTGGCAACAGGAGGGACTGGAAAGAGACAAATGTTTACAATCAGGAGCAAGATAACCAAATCAGAAGCATGATATCAAGTACATGACAATGCTGACCCAAAAAACTCCACAAGTGGAAATCTGGATATTTAATTACATGTATAACAATATTGCTGATACGTCTGACATGGCACCACAGTAACGCACTGCCCATCACAAATTAAAACAAAAGAATGCTAGCTGATGAACAATCCATGACACCTATCTTGCTGAGAACAATTTTCTATGCTCACACTTCTTTTGGAATATATTTCAGTATTAAATGGCTGCACAAATAAGAAAAGAGGCTTGCATTTCATTACCATAGTAATATAACTTGCGCTTCTCAACCGAAGCACTAAATACTTGTCCCCACCTCACAAATGTGTATTAAATGTATGATTTATGAGCACAAATGTGGTATATAGTGAAGTACCAATTCTATTGCCTCATGGCTACCATCCCTTAGCAAGAATTCAGTCAACTGATGCTGTCATAGCATCATCATCTTGCTGGACACTGCAATGCCATAACAGACCACACTTTTTTCAAGTGCATTCTAAGGATTCAAATATGGTTGAAAGAAATGTGTATGATCATACCTTGGTCATCTATACAATTTGAACATGATATAGGCTGAGCAAATTATATGAACCAATACCATAAATCCCAGGTGATAATATAAAACAGTCACCTACTTTGGTTGTGTTGCACTAAATCACATACATAGGACAGTACCAAGCCTGCCAGGGATGTAGCCAATGGGTTTGAGGCAATGACTCTGCTGAGCAAGAGGTACACAGAAGGGAACAGTGATTTCATATGGATTCAGTCCAAGTTCAAAAGGAATCAGAGAAAATTCAACATTTAAATCCATTTCTGAGAAACATCTGGATGTCTGAAGCCTACCACAGCAAACCAAAACTATATGCATAAAATCACAAATGTTCATAGTGTTGCAGCTACTTTCCCTGCATTTCGGCTACTGTTTCAGAGGTGACACACTACCTCCATAATGTTCCACATTTGATGGCAAGGGAATAGCTTTGCACAATGAGTTGGGAAGGCTACACAGTGATAACTCACATGACCTTCTCCAAGATATGCCAATAAACTGAGTGCCTGTGCACTTTCCCAGATTTAGCCTACTTTCTGCTCAAAGAGGGCAGGGGGCTCAAACCTAAGTTGGTGGGTTGGAGATGCCCCACCTGACAAGCGAAATATCCCTGTTTCATAGGCATTTTCATCGGTTAATACCAGCGCGACAGAATCACATACGTACGCATACATGCTCGGGATCCTTATATATAAACGCATGTTTACAGCATTTACACCACTGAAACAAAATAAACCGGGGCTTTATTTTAAGTTTCTTTCTTCTTCTCCTTCTTCAGTTTCCATTGGTATCCCTTCAATTATATGTAGAGAGAACAATGAACAACATACACTCACTTCGCAGACCCCTCTCCAATCAGGAGAAAGTAATGCATGCAGTGCATCCCACGCTCTGTGCATGCTTCGGCAGCGCCAAGGCCGCATTAGACAGGGCAAAATCGTTCTGTGATTCTCCCTTCATCTTCACTTGTCGTTAGTGTGACGTCACTGGTGACAAGACTCCACCGTGCGGCTGGACTGATACCCTACATGTTCGCTAGGCACCGAACGTAAGGATAAGGGGCAGCTGGAACAGCAGAATATTTGTATAGATTATGTGCTTTATACGCCTATGAGGCAAATCAATTAAATGTAGTGGTATGAAAAGTGAAAACGCACACACCTGACTTATCTGCAGCAAGGCCGGCGGGAGCATCGCACTACCTAGTGTCGATAACGAGCATTGTGTTGGTGTCAGGTTATGTGATCAATAGGGCGTGATATCAGTAACAAAATCAAGTGAGACAAAAAACCCTTGGCGCTGGAGCCTAAATGCACACGGCACAGCAAAAGTTCTCCCCAAAAGCTTAAATTCGTTACGCACGTTACGATCAACACATCGTTGAAACCTGCACCCGGCGTTGCAGTCACTATGTGCTGCGCGGCATCGGCCGTCGCAGGTAGCACCAAGCCGTGCAGGCAAGCGATACAAAACAGCTTCGCGTGTGGGAGTAACGCTACCGAGCACTTCCTAAACCGTCATACGAAAATGTCCCGGTCTAAGGTCTAATATGCGGATCAGACGTTGCTCGATTGGTTGCCATATGGCAGAAACTTCATGTGTTGTTGAGTACGAGCTCGTTGTGCGAGCACGTTTTTAAGTACTGCTTTGGGCCTTCGCTTCTCTAAGACAGCTCACGTGCTGCAAACAAAGCCATGCAAAGCGTATGACTCAGTATATTACCTGGTGTACAACTTAATATGTATGGCAAGATCTACAAGCCGCACCACGGGCGTGCAGGGGGCTTAGGGTGATCCCATGCACATCTTGCCCCTGGCTGAGCCCTGCGTATGCAATGCACCGGCCCAAACAGCGGTTGCCCACAGACCGGAAACCCGAAACGCGTGTTGGCAGAGATCGCACGGTAGCAGAAGTACCGTCGCAGCTGGGCTCTACATATTGTCGAAGCTCCAGCTCCAGCCTCAGACGTTCTCGGCAGTGCGGCGGTGGTCTCACTCTGCTATGCAGGCGGGTGCCCGGGCATCGCTGCTCTGGCCGCTGCCAGGTTGGTTGACACGCGACGCTGCCGTCCCCATTCTGTGGGCTGCACGTCTCCAACTTTCCTCCCGCCGTGCTTCCTGAACCAGAAGGCAGAGACGTAGTGCGTACTGCATGTGGGAGCGCCGAGTGATGGTCAAGCGGCCCGCCCTTCGGCTTATCCTCTTTCGGATGGCTATTCTGCATGCGGACAGCGGGCGGACGGAATGGTGCGGCGGCGGCGGCGGCGGCGGCTGTCTTGCCGTGGTCTGCTGTTACGACCACTTATGGCGGACGCATTTAAAGGGGCTGTGATGGAAGTACAAAAATCATGAAATTTCTGAAAAGAAGACACGGAGCATCTCGTAATTATACATGCACTGTCATTTTGCATAGTGACTAATTATGGTATAGAGATAGATACAGATGCAGATACAGGAGCCGTTTTGAACGCCGAAGGCTAGCACGTACAACAGTTGCTGGTTCATGCTCAGCTGATGGATCAGGCTGACCGGCAGGTTTGGTACGTGTCCCGGCATAGGCTCGGAATGTCCATAACGTCCCTATTCCAGACCTTTACGGTGCGGGTCTTGCCGATGGATCCAGGAAGATATTTCGGTTCCCGTGGTCGTGCCTTCCAGCCTCAGCCGCAGTTGACGGAGGTTCAGCTCGTTGTCATGCAGCTGACAGATGAACCAGTGTACGGGTGACTCGGTGACCAGCTCAAACAGCCCGAACACGCCGCCTGTTGTCCCGGTGTTGACAGCCGTGCCATCGCAGTCGAGCACATTGACGTGACCGTCGTGCTGCGGGCTCTCGGAGTATAGCTTGTGAAAGTAGGAACAGGGTGCGGTCGAACTCGGACGTGAAGTGGGTCACGCAGTAACTGCTTGGCTCAGCGATGCAACCACGTGTTTTTCGATGGCATTTGCGTGGCTGTGTGTGGCTCAGGTAGGTCCTGTCTTCGCGGCAATCGAAGTAGAGGATGGTCAAATCTGACTCATAGATTGATTCAGTATTTTGGTGAGCCGTCTCCTGCTTCCGCTCTGTCTCTTGCGCGTCAGATCCTCTTAGGATCTACGATATTTGATTTCAAACAGCCATTCTGTCTCTGCCGTCTCGCTGAAAGGCGTTGATGATAGCGGACAGCGGCTGGGCTTGAGCCACCGTAGCTGTCAGCCGCCAAACGGTCGGTAGTCAGATCGTTAACGCTAACCGTGTCAGAATCCGTGCTCTCGGCCGACTCGCCAGGCGCTGAGACCACTTGGTCCCGGAGCAGGCTCGAGCTCAGCACTAGCTGCCGGCGCTGGCTCAGCAGGCGGCGCGGGCTCAGTATCCGGCGGGGAGGGGGGGGGGGGATGGCGATTCAGGTTCGGCAGCAGACACCGCCTCACTGGCGGCCGAGCCACGACGCCCCTGGCGTTGTCTGGCCATTCTCTGCACCTCCCGAGCCTCCCTAGACACAGACGTAGCCCGGTGACTATGAACCCAGGTTAAGCTTCCGGTGTCTGCACTGGTCCTTCAAAAGGCAACCTCTCTTGCTGCTCTCCATAGGCAAGTGGGCGTCGGGAACTGTGCTGAGAGTTACACTTGCATTTCGCAACATCGAGAAACTTGCTTGAATTTTGCGGTGGTGGCGTTGTTGTGCACCTCTTTTTTCTTCTTTTTTATTTCTTGCTGATAACTCTGTATGGATCGCATCAATCCCGCTTGATATCTTTTGTCACATACTTTAAATCATGAATATGGATCTCTTCGTTGGTCTACAGTTTCCATATTTCTATCGTCACGGTCTCGAAGATGGCATCAGTGAGATTCTTCAACGACTCGCTCAGCCCACCTGATGTAACTCAAGGCTTCCCCGTGGTCGGCAATTGATGGTGGGAGAGAGGAGCCGGGTGGCCTATATAATTGTTCAAAAGGAATGTTGCAGTACCGGCAAAGCTAAACTAATAAACCCTCATCGTACGCACAGCAAGTATATGAACTGCATATTGATATCACAATGATGCGTGATCAACAGGAACCTCGAACTTGCTCCGGTCTGCTGGGGCATCTCATAATTGCACAGTTATTGTCACGATCGCCGTCGTCATAACGACAGGCAGAATTTGGTGACGGCCGTTGTCAGCTGTTTCGGGAGAGAGGTTCCATTTTTGAGCTGTTTTAACTCGCACATTGCGGGCCTGCGGGCTTAAAAGCTGGCACCTCTAGGAACACGTTTTTAGTGCCAGAACGCGTTCAGTGGAGGTCCCATACATAAGCTTGTGAAAATTTGGGCGCGATTGCACAACATTCCGAAGAGACCTTCTCAAAAACCCTTGGGGGATCGCATCGCCTGCCTCCTCCCCCCCCCCCCCTCTATCGGGGCGAGGTTTGAATAAGGTAAAGTCGCCTTTTAATGCTGAGGTACAAATGTTGTCTAGGAAGACTGAGCAAGTGGCGACCGATGCCAAAACACGGTCAGCGATGAATCAGGTTCACACGGGTGCACGTACTGCTGATGATAATTCGCACAACAGCAGCCTGGGGGTTCACATCATGGCGGCTCTTGGGCAGCTGTTGTCAAACCGACTATGTTCAGGGGTGGAATAAATGTAATCACTATAGCGCACTGCCACTCATATACAGCTCACAGAAATTCATCAGCTGTACTGTTCATGTTGTTCCGTTTAAAAAGAGCACTACTCACAGATACATGTCGTGCTCTGCGCTCCGGTTTAGATATTTGTGATTCTTCCCACATGCCACCCTGGCGTCAGACATAGTGACGTACAAAAACGTCTAAGAACGTGACCATGGGTGTAAGTTGCAACTGATTGCTGGGGAGGGCAAACCCAGACCCGACAACGTACCATTTGTTTTTCAACGGGCTCAGTGCACTTCATTTTGACGGAAGACAATTCACATTTTAGATTTGCATATCATACTACTTAATGTAATCACCATACTATTTATGCAGGGACGGATCTAGAAGGGGAGGGGAATGGAGGCACGAACCCGTTCTGATCGGAAAGCAAAGGCTTTCCTCTATAGGTCGCCCTAGGTCGCATCAGGTCGCCCAGCGCACTTCTATGGCGGCCATGGGCGGCGGCACGTATTTTTGGTTGTATGGAGCGGAGACAGGGTTAGTGGTAAAGGACTCAGATCATTTCCGTGCCCCAAAGCTTTTCATGTCAAACCTGTGCGCGTCTTATGTCCTAGGTGGGTGAAGTCTATTGTATCGTTTATCCGCTCAAAAGATGCAATTTGGATCTGGCGGTGGGGACACATGTGCCCCTTTATTACGAGGTTGGGGTGGTCTACTGTTGGCAGGTGCATTTTTCTAAACGACAAACCTGTCTGTTTCGTGTTATGGGGTGGTAAACATCCGGCTACATTAACGGAACCAGTTGCGGGGTTTGGAGGCCAAGCCACTCTGCTTAGCTATGCAACTTACCCTGATTTTCTGTGTTGCCTTTGGATATAGAACACAGAGCACCGCGTAAATCAGTGCTGCTTTATTTAAGTCACGATTTTTGCGTGACTCGCGAGCGGTATGCGAAAATTTTTATTTTAAGTTGGCGTCGGACCACATTTTTCAATTCAACTAGGTCGGCCTCGACAATTGCAATCAATATGACTATCATAACTAATTTTCAACGCAACCAATTCATGTTTAATAATTCATACTGAACGGTCTTTTTGGCCAATAATTGTATGGAATGGAGGCTAAAAGTAAACTGCTTCAGTTACATACATAAAAATGTGCTGTACATACAACGTTGCGGATGAGTTTGTTTCGATTGTGGTGTAAAAATGTGCTTTTGTGCATGTACTTTTCATAGGACCACATCCAATAGCTTAACTGGCTTGTAATCCTACGTTGCTTATGCTTGACAAACAAAAACAAATCAAATATAAGATGGTTCCCGTCCAATGTCCAACGTCACCCTCCATCTGAGAACATAATTTTGAGGTTGCTTGGTCAAGCTGCTCCGCTGCATCTTTCATGGCGATGTCACTACGAGCCGATGGATCAAGGAAGATAGTCTGTATGAGATGACCAGTTTTCTCCTGCGCTTTTGTAGTATCCCAGCCCAAAACACCGCGGGGTGACCAAGCCAACATGGCGGGGCCAACTCAACAATGGGGAATGGCCCTCACAACTTATACAAATCGACACCCATGAACGCAGCGTACAGGGCTCAACACCTAAGGTGACTTTTGTTTGCTTCTATCCAGTGAACGCTCATGGGAAGTAATGCGAAACTTTAAGGAAGTTGGGGGCTCATTCCTCCTCTTTTTGTACTCACACCCTATTAAGTTGCATTCACTTCCCATGCCGATTGAGTTTTAAGGGACTTGCCTGAATATAAACTCGCTAAAACGCATTGTCATGGCTGTCATTTTACTCTGCATGACCGTTTCATCGCGGATATATGCGCCTACCAGTAATAATGCTTGTCACAAGTTAGGGAGGCCCGATGTTCAGGCTGCTTATCTCAAACGGTTCAAGCGTGAATGCTTTTGCTATTGGCGCTGATAACAATTTAGCCGTCAGGCATATGAACTTGCAATTGCCGCATCATGCTTCCAGCTAAATTCTAAGCATTCGTTTATATGCTGTTTTTTCCCTTTTGCCTCCCTGGCTCTAACGCAAATCATTTATGCATATTCCGTGTTGTATATGTTACCTGTAACAAGACATACTTATTTAACAACCCACCACTTAATGGGACAACCCTCTCGAACTTCTTTGAGTACTGGCGCTCAGATCGGAGCCAGGTCAATGGCTGGCCAGTTCAAAAACAGCATGTACGCTTCGCAGCTGTTGGCATGGTGCATGCGGATGGGCTGGACTCTGTAGTCGTTGTACTCGTGCCAGACTCCCAAATAGGGGTGTTTACAGTGGGCCGTGTGATGGCCCGAATGCGCCACTCCAGAGTGCTGTGTCACGCCGTACAGGTTATACATCCAGTCTCCTGATACGACAGAGAATGGCGACAGGTCCAAACCACTGGCGGATAAGTCCACTGTGGTGTTGAGCTTGTGCCCGTTCTGATCCAGCTGCAGCAAGAACCATTTCAGGTGCACTACAAGAATGCGTGGGAGCCTCAGAACCTTGAAGTCTTTGGATCACTTTTGGCGCTTTTGGCACATGGAACACGTGGGGTTTTCTTCTTCGTCAAGCGCCTCTTCCGAGGTAAAAAGGTCGATTATGCTGTCCAGCTGTGTCTATGTGTATGCCTATGTGTCCGACTATGTTGGTTCCTGGTTATAGTGCATATAACGTGGGCTGGCTCTGGTTATATCCACATTGCCCCGCAGGTTGTTCGTTATCGGTACGAAGGCAGTTCATTGTCTGGCACGGCATCTTTGCAATAGTTCTCGTGTGAGTGCTTTCAATCTATATGCCGATTTAACTGCAATGACTAAACTACATAATCTTGCAAAGTACGTTGTCATATTTGACGTTAAATTCTAAGCATTTAGCTTACTGTCATATGCACCTGCCACTTACAGTTGGTTCATTATCGATGCGAGGAGAGCCCGATGTTCCACCCGCCTTATCTCGTATAATTATCGTTCATACGTTTTCACTCCCTATGTCAAGACCTTTAATAGTTAGTCGGATAGATTTGCAAAGCCATCATCATGCTCGCACTAAAAATCTACGCAAATAACTCTGTGGTCATATGCACCTCCCACAAGTAGTTTGCTCAATATCTGCACCGAAATTTCCTATGCCCCTACTGCCCCGCTGCCACCTTCACGATTAGCGACGGCGCCGCATTGAAGTCTCGGCACCAGTGACATCACTGCCCTGTACAGAGCGGGTGAAAATCCGACCTATAGCCATGCCCGTGCATGGCACCTCCTTAGTGGCGCCACGCTTAGCTAGGCACTACGCACGCTCGTATTTTTGCCAGCATTGAGAAGCGACGAAAGCTCGCTCATTGGCCGCTCGACCTAACGCGACGTCACTATTACTTGGACGAGTCCGATTCACACGCTGGTGCAGGTATGTCATTCAGCATCAGCGGGTGATTGCGATAGGCTGCTCGTGATTCTTTTCACTTCGAGTGCATGTTGGGAGAAGAATGGGAACGAAGGCAAGGATCAGCTATTGTCCAAGCTAAAGGTGAGCATTTAGCAATTAAGGCAGAATATTGGCGTGGTTCGGTGGCCGGAGAATACTGGGACACTTGAGATCTGTCAGACATTTCGAAATAAGTTACGCCGACGTTCCCTTTCGTATCAACCAATTATTAATTGTACGAATCTTGTGGGATTTCTCTTACGCATGGGCGTAGGAACAGCAGGGCCAGGGGGCCGTGCCCTCCCCTCCCCCCCCCACAATTATCAAAGTGGGGGGCAGCAATGTTAACTGCCCCCGCCCCCCACTTTTCAGATTAAGGTTGCATTTGGCTTACTTTTGCATTACATTAAACATGCATGCCGATTTACTTAGTTCACCAGCCATCTCCATTAACACGCGTCATCTTTTTTGTTTGGTCACTGGCCATCGCCCGATATTACAGCCACAAGGCCGACGCCCCCCGGCCTGGAGACTGCAACGCCGGGCGTCGTGTCTGTTGCTACGGTGACTTGCGAGCGCGCATGTTCAAGGCCATATTGCGTAGCTTTCTTATCAATAATCAGTTCTGACAGGATCTTGAGCATTTTAAGACGAACATGGGTAAGCCATGTTAATACGAATTAGGAACCCCATTTCATTTCTAATGTACGGTCAGGGAGAACTCAATATCTCTGAAAACACGAAAAAATACGGAACTGGAGCCTATGTGACAATTATTTGACTACCTGCGGTGATCAGTGATATTGTTGCGTCATTGAGGGTTCCTGTGCTGATCCGGGGTTAACTGCACGGGTCAGAGGGTCTCCCGTGTCAGGGATGGGAGCAATGTGATGTGACATGTCCTGGCAATGGCCCCCGGATCGACCAAGAGATCCCACCCCGTGTCACCAGAATGATAGCCCAGAAGACACTAAGCGATGGGACGGAATGGCCCTTCAGTCCTTGGCCGGAAACGGTAATGAGCCCCTGGTGTTCTACTCAAGAGGCCCATTGCCAGGAAGGAAATAAGGGGTCTCATTATTGTTGGGCAAAGTGGGGCCTCATTATTGTTGAAAAGGGTGGCTAGAAATGAGCTTAAAAAACGAGCAGGGTCATGCCATGTTTGCCGGAGAACGTTCATTTGTTCAGAATGTATTATTGAAACAAATCACATCAGGTTTGAACATGCCCGCCCGCAACCTCGAGAGCAAGAACAAGGATGATCTGGGTTACAACTTCCGTAAAACCAAAAAGTTTCGGCCACTGGAAGTGCCACCAGACGGCGGGCGCCGTGTTAATCCGCTTCTGAATAGATAAATAGCTGCAAAAACACGAAAAATAGAGATGCTACCTTCACTCTTCCAGTTCAACCACCAGATTCTAGCCCCACTCGCGGTGCTTTAAGGGCCAATCCATTATTTTCATTGGTCTAAAAATTGCACACGTGAAATATGCGCTCTGACTGTCCTCTAAATGCAAGATTTGATGACTTGAAACGTTCAAGGATACTTTTTTTTAGAAGCGTCGTCATTGTCGTCCATCTGTTGGCCATAACTTAATATTAGCTACTGGGCCCGACGCTGCGCGGGCTACGGAGACGCCTGGGGTCGAGGCTTGTGTTTCTAAGATTTTCGAGTGCGCGTGCTCAAAATTATGTCACATAACTTGTCTTACTAGTCGATTAAAGTGGTTAAAGGTAATCATTTCAGAAGCGTCGCTATTTTCGTCCACCGGTGGGCCACGGCTAAGAGTTAGCTACTGGGCTAACGCTCAGCGTACTATGGGGGCTGCAACACCTGGTGTCGAGGTTTTTGTTGCTATGATTTGCGGGCGCGCATGTTAAAAACACGTCACATGAATTGTATCACTAATCGATTCTGACTGAATGGTGAACATTTTCAGACAAATATGGCTGGGCCATGTTTGTACACATTGTTGACCATTCGATCTGCAATCAAATTTTCATCTTCAAGTTTGGATCAAACATATCGATCTACAATCTGCCTTCGCGATGCCCTCGAGGTCTGTAGAATTCGGATAAAACATTCTGACAAAGCTTCTGAATTCTACCGGTTTAGAGAGAGTCAACTAACCATTATAAATTAAGAGCGCCGGTGATTTATTCCATACAGTCGATCATTGTCTGATTTCTGCAGTTTATTGACCTCAAAATACAAACAGAATTGAGCTCACGGTAGCACCTGGTTTCTGTTCCGGTGACAAGGTAAAAATAACAATAAAACGAAGAAAACCATGTCACTTGTTAACAAGTAAGATATAACCGGGGATTTTGGGGGGTCACCATAAGATGAGCTTTTGTCAACCTTGTGTTCCCCCTTGACAACGTCCTGGGCACGCCTCTGCCTACACACAAAAGCAGATCAAATCGTATACGTTACATGATGGGTAATGAAGTGTCCGTTGGGCCAGTCCATACCTAAGGCAGACAGCTTCCCGGAGGCTATTTTTCTGCGATGGTGTGGTGTAAAGGAAGATAATTCGGAAAAAGATACTGTTGCAGGTGTCCAACACATGTTTCATACTCCATGCAGTAGTAACGCTGATCCAAAAGTATGCCACAAAGCAGCCATACGATCAGTTCGCAGTCAGTCATGCGGGAGACATCCGGGCCAGGGCAGTGGCCACCGACGGCGGACAGGAGCAGGGCCCAGATAAGGAACGTGCGACAGATGGGCCTTATTATGTGGCTTGGTTCTTAAAAGAGAATATCCAGTCCTGTGGCTTTTGTCACGTTGTTTCTGGCATTTTCAAGCTCCCGAATTTATGTCAGCCTAAAATGCTGCTACTGGTCTCTTGAAAAGCAGCCAGTGAAATGAAGGCGCATGAAAAAAATCTGTCGCACTGTGAGCCATCAATCCACTTTCAAAATTCTCACCAGCCTATATCCAGGCCGTATTTGGCATCGACACTGCGGAGGCAGATGCTTCCTCAATGACCCAAAATAGCTACCCGCGGAATTCCGCCTCCCCAGGAAAAGTAAGTTTAAAATGAACGAATAATATTGGGAAGCTGGATAGCCTTAGTTTCCAAGTGACAGATGAGTCGAATAGGCAAGATTGTGCACCAGTGAGAAACAGTTCTAGATGCATATCTAGGATAGCAGCCATGACATTTGAATAAACAGCGATTACAGCCTCCATCCCTACCCCCGCCCCCCTTCCGGCCATCAGGCCCGCTTTCCAAACAAAGTTGCTGGAGTGCACCCTGAGCTTGCCCCCTTCCCCACTTTTTGAAACGTTCCGACGCCTATGCTCCTACAGATGACCCAAATTTACTGCGATGTATTGCGAAAATTATGTTTGTTCCAGGCACAATGCACGTATGGTTGTCTTAGAGTGAGGGGGGGGGGGTCATTGTCAAATATTTAAAATCTACGAATTCTGGCAGAATCTTTATCAAATCACCCAATATCGAGCACAAACCTTTTTGGATCGGGGGGGGGGGAGGGGGTACGCTAGCCGTGTTTGTTCCATTTATGGCACAATTGTGCGTTGATGTCGAAAAATCGGATGAGTATCGCAAACAAGTTACGCCAATGGAACCAGAGGGTAGGACGGGCACCACGAGAGCCCCAGGAGCCAGGTCGGCAAGGCGGGAGCCACAGGAGCCGGGACGGCAGGGCGGGAGTCACAAAGCAAGGATGGCGCCGCGGGTGCCACAGAAGCCGTAACAGGCACCGCGGCAGCCACTGAAGTCGGGACAGGCACCGCGGCAGCCACAGAAGTCGGAACAGGCACCGCGGCAGCCACAGAAGTCGGGACGAGTACCGCGGCAGCCACTGAAGTCGGGACAGGCACCGCGGCAGCCACAGAAGTCGGAACAGGCACCGCGGCAGCCATGGAAGTCGGGACGGGCACCGCGGGGGCTGGAGGTCATGTTGCAGGCAGTTTTTCGATGGAACGGCTGAGCTATCCCAGCGGTTGCGGATGCCTTTGATCAAATAAACTGAAACCTAATCCGAGCACACCCGACGATCTGCTTTGCAGCCATGGACGTAATCACCACTCTTCTATGCCCCACCCGTGCCCCGGCAACGTATGGGCGGATCGGACTATTTTTGCGCGTTTTGACCGCACGAATTGGTGTTAGATTGGAAGGGAATTACGGTGGCATTTAAGGCGTGCTTACGTCCGTGGTGCCAGCCAGGTCGGTGGATTAGCATCACATCTTCCCCGCCCCCATTGCTCCACGGAAGCTCAGTGGCCATTGGTGACAGCCGCGGGCTCGTCTGCTTGGCAAGGAAAGGTCACGATGACGGATAACCGTTTGGCGTCTGGCCTCTACTCTTTCGGCGCGCGGGGCACTACAGTTTCTGTAAGGCCTGTAAGATATCCCATTCTGTTGAAAGTCGGTAAAAGCCGATGAGATACCCGTTTTTTCTTGAGGTTTTGGGGCAAGGCTGGGCATTTCTCCTCGCTGCCTCTGAAAGATACTCACCAAGATAATCCTGTTTTGCCTTCGTCAGTATCAAAAGTATTGCAGCTCTAGGCCACCACTAAACCAGGAGCTCTAGACTAAACAGCTCTAGACCACCACCAGTAAAACAAAACAGGCCTGTTTTGTTTTGCTGGTGCCAGCCCTGGTAAGGGGGTTGATGCACCCCTCTAAGGTTTCTTGGGACACCTCTCCATACGTTGTGCAATCGTGCCCACAATTTTAGTAACCTATGCGGTGTCCATTGCACGCGTTTCCGCATCAAAAACGTGTCCCTTCGTTTACTGGTTTTGCAGCAGAGGCGTTTTCTTTACTTTTTATTTATGCAATTGCTTTTTGAAAACCGCACGGGGATTTGCAGCTGGCACGGGCGGGGGGCGGCAACCGACGATGCTGTGGAACGCGCGCCGGGGTCTACATGTTACATTAATGGAGCCATATATCATAAATGTATGCTCAAACACACACAAAAATATACACTGCTGCCCAGAGTTGAGTGAGGAACGCGCCTGTTAAGACTTTGCGTCGCCGTAAGACATGGGCTCGTTTGTAAGGTGTAAAACTCAAAATGTACGGTTTTCTGGAAAATTTGGCGTTTGACCTGGCAT